TCCATGAGGGGGTCCATCTGTCTGTCTGTCTGCTGGTAGCCAGCCCAGCAGTGAGCAGTCTATCCTCACTCTGTCCTCTCCGCAGCCACACCCAGCCCAGCAAGACCCTGTCCCCTTTCTCAGCAGGGTCTGTCATCACTCCTCCAGACCACTCTGTGGCCACCCCCACCCTCTCATCTGTCTCTCTCATCTGTCAGTCTGTCCATCCTTCATCCATCCGTACTTCCTCCTGCCCCCGAGCACTTCCCTGAGGTCACATCCATCACTTGGCAGACAGCCCTGCCCTGCCAGGTAGCCACCTCCTGGCTGCTCATCTATCTGTCCACCAGCCCATCCATCCATCTGTCCTCCAGTCCATCCATCACGCCACAAGACACTTGCTGTTTTTGCTGCCACTCACAAGTTCCTGATCTGATCCGGCCTCCTTGGGGTTCCCTCAGGATGTTGGGAGCCCAGTGCTCGCTCGAATTGTAGATCTCCGTGAGCTACAGCGTCCATTGCTTGATCCTGCACTGAGCCTGGGACGCAGTCCCTCCGAGCAGAGTGGAATGGGGTGGGGGTGGGGGTGCTGGGGCCTGGGGGAGGGGCTGCTCCACAGGGCCTTCTCCCCACCTACTCTAAACTTTTCACTATAGGCACCTATGACCCATTCAACAATACATAATTTGGCCCCGGTGCACACTTGTAACCCCAGCACTGGGGAGGCTGAGACAGGAGGGTGTCATGAGTTCAAGGCCAGCCTGAACTGCATAACAGGACTCTGTCTCAAGCAAAATAAAACAGTACAACCAAAAGTACATGATTTGGGAAGATATCCAATTCCCATTCTATTTCTGATTCCTTAGGAGGGGTCTGTCTGATCAATTCCCAGAATGAGAGGGGGGTCCTCCCGGCCCGGAAGTCCGTACCACAGGCCACCAGCCGCTTCTCCTAGTGATCCTCCGTCCCCCACCCCCAACCCCACTTTGTCTAGAGACCCAGCGAGGCAGAGGGACAAACATGGAGCAGGGACACCCGCAGGCCAGGGAGAAAACGCCAGAGGCCGGAGGGAGCCCGGGCCACGCAGAGGAGGGAGGTACGAGCTGGGTGACAATAGCGCAGGGCCCGGCGGGTGGGCGACCTGGGCTCCGGTCCCCTGCGGGGTGCAGGGGCTGCGCCCCACCTGCGCAGGCAGGCGAACTCGGAGTCCGCGGGCGGGAAGGGCTTTGCAGAGGCAGCGGAAGAGGGACGGGGTCCCCCCGCAGTTCGCAGCACCACCACCCCAGTCTCGCACCCCGGCCGCCCCCGGCCTCCGACCCCGCAGGTGTCGCCTTTGAGGGTCGCCGCGTGCGGTTTATGGCGCGGCCGCTTCCCGCCGCGAGGAGCCGCCCCTGCGCCTGTAAAGGAGATCGGGCCGCCGAGGGGCTGCGTCCGTTGCCATGGAAACACGGCCGCCCGGGGGCGGGCCAGGGCGGAGAGGTCTGCGAGCGAGCGGGGTGGCCCGGCGGTCTCCGGACGCTCCCGCTGCGCCCCGCGCATAGCTGTGCTTTCCGGCCCGGTCTCCACCCGCCCCTCCCCCAGGCGCATCCCAGGCCTGAGTGTAACAGTCCCGGCCTCCAGAAAGCCTTCGGCCCTGGCCCCAGCCTGGGCCCCGCTAGCACTTGCTAACAGTGATAAATAATCGGCGTGGTCCACGCCTTATTTGAAGAACCTGTGTGTCACTTCAGTCACCTTTGGTTGTGGCACGAACCACAGATAGACCTGAAACTACTGTTTTGTGTTTTGTTTTGTTGAGATAGGATCTGGCTATGTAGTTCAGGCTGGGTTGAACTCAGAACTCACAGTGATCCCCCTGCCTCAGCCTCCTGAGTGCTGAGATTACAGGCATGCGTCCACATGCACAGTTTCAGAGCTGGCTATTTTGTCCCTGTTTACAAACAAGAAGACTAAGCTGAGCTGAGTGTCTGCTCAAGGTTGTACAGCTAGAAAATCTCATCTGGCTCAGTTTCCTCCTCTGTTAAAAGCAAGACGTGCACCTGAAGCCTGCCAGCTGCCCAGGGTGGACTGAGCCCCGTGCATGTCTGGGTTTGGCGGGCTGAATAATTTTCTGCCTCTGAAGCCCTTTTCCTGAGTGTGCAGGCCCCACTCTGGCCCAGGGCCTCTGTGTCACATTCCCCCACCCACATGGACTCTCTGGACTGGAGTGCATCTCTCTGAGCCAAGCTGCTGGGGACTCAAGACACATCTCCAAACAGGCATAGTGGGACATTCCTGCAATCCTAGCACTCTAGGAGGCTGAGGCAAGAGGACTGCAGGTTCAAGCCAAGCCTGGGCCATTTAATGACTTAACAAGACCCTGTCTTGATAAAATTAGCTTGGTGCAAATGCCCTCTGTTCAACCCCCAGTACCAAAAACCTGGGGAAACATCTTAAGGGGCCTCCCAGCTCTGACACCTGCAGTCCTAGGTCCTCAAAGTGGGCCTTGCTGGGCCACCTCACCCCTCTGACTGGGCGCTCCCTAAGGTAGGGCGCATCTCTCCCACCACACTAGGCACTGCTATGGTTCACTGCCACATTCCCAGCTCTGTGGTCACTAGAAATATCAGACCCAGGCTGGACTTGGTTGTTCCTTGGCAGACAAGCACATTCAGGGGTCTGTTTTGGCCCCTGAGCCTGCCCTGAGATCTGCTGTCTGCAGGACTGGATGCCCAGCAGTCTTTGCCAGGGGAACAGTCTTGCCCAGAGGGGCCAGAATCTTCCCCCGAGGCAGCCAACCTACCAGTCGTGCTCCTTTCTGCTTGCTAAACATGGACAGAAGACCTGGGAAGTGTTCCATGCCCACCCATTTCACAGAAGGACAAACTGAGTTACAGAGGGAATGCACTTGACTAAGGTCACCCTCTGCAAGGGGTAACTCCGTTCCTTCCCCTGCTCCGTGCATCTCCCAGTGCTCCTTACAGGTACTTGACACCGGGTGTTGACACATCTCTAGTGTTGGGCTCAAGAGGGGGCAAAATTGGGTTGGGTCTGCTTGGTTTTTAGACTAAGATTCCAGCGCCTCACTCAGGACCTGGAACATATAAGCTTGTTGAACACACCTGATGATTCTCTCTTTTCTTCCACCTGGAGAGGTCCCGCCTTCCACGTCCCTGCTGCTAGCACAAACTGTCCTTGTGCCCCACACTTGATGATATGGATAGACCGTTACGTGGCATGCAGCCCCGGGCCCCTGCCCTGTGACCTTCTCAGGACTATCTCCGTTGTTTTGTTTGGGAGTAGCAGGAATCGAACTCACAACCTCGTGCTTGCCAGGCACTGTGCTGCTGAAATATAGCCCTGCCCCCTTTTAAAAATTTATTTATTTACTTACTTACGTATTTATTGAGACAGGCTCTCGCCTGTGTAGTTCAGGCTACCCTGGAACTTGTGGCCATCCTCTGGCCTCAGTCTCCCAAGTGCAGGGATTACAAGCGTGTGCCAATACATTCTGCTGTGTCCCATTTTATAGATAAGACACTGAGGCTCAGGGGCCAAGCTAAAGCCCAAACACACTCATTTTCTCCCGGTCAAGTGGTCCCTTCCCTGGGAGACAGGAGGACAAAGAGCCCTGAGCCTGTAGACCCTGCTGGAGCCTGGCTGACCTGGGCGTCTGTTCCAGAGACCGAAGGGTGCTGGCGGAGGAGTGAGGGGTCCCTCTGGGGTCTTCGCCTTCCTACTTCATATACCATGTGGGTGGGTGCATGAGCACCTGGCCACTTTGCACGTGAGGGCTCAGGGGGCGGCATGGGCCACTCGAGGGCCAGAAGCGTCCTGTTTGTGTCCCTGTCCGGTGTCTATGTCCCTGTGCGAGGGAACTGGGGTGGGGAGGGAGGCCATGATATACCCAGACTGTTTCAGGCAGGCCTGTTATCATTATCTTCATGTAGAGATAGAGAAACTGAGGCTCAGGGAGGCAAAGGGCTTGGCTTAAGGCCACACAGCTCCCTGTGCCAGGCGCCAGCCCTTCCCCGCCCCTCCTGCCCAGAGCAGCAGTGGTGCAATAATTGTTGTCCCACGCATCCGTCTCCTGCCAAGGCCTGAACACACACCGCAGGCTGGTTCCCCACCTCCTGAGCGCCTGGCCAGGCTGAGGGGTCAGGGGCTGGACCGTGAGCCCTGCTGCTATCCAAGGCCCTGCCTGGCTGCTTGTGCCTCAGACTGGGACACCCCAAGGGGAAGGTGGGGACTCCTCTGCAGACCGAGGGTTCTTCCAGGAATAGAGTGTACACCTGCTGGGGTGCCCAGGGGCTGCAGAGGGCAGAGCCAGTCCCAGGGTAGAATAGAGGCGGATTCCCCCTTCAGACTGGGACTGCCCAGCCCCTGGGCTCTGGGCAGCGTCTGGGGAGGGTCCTCAGCCCGGCTGGCTCTGCAGTCTTCAGCCCTGACCCCTAAATCAGTGCCATGGTTCCAAGAGTGTAGCCCAGGTAAGGGCAGCCACCTTCGGTCCTGGACTGGGCACTGGGGCAGAAAGTACCCGACCACCCCAAGATTGGAGCCCTGCCCCCCACCCGACTTTCTCCCACGGACTCTGCCCACCTCTGGGCGCTCTTATCAAAAACCACCAAAACCAGCCATCGAAACTCGAGCAGCTTTTAACCCCCGCACCCTCACCAGCTCACCCCGCCCGCCCTACCCTGACGCCCAGTGCCCACGCCCTGCCAGTCCCATTCCCAGGAGGCCCAGAGGGAGTCAAACTGGCCCTGGAAGCCAACACCCCGGACCCCTGAGGTCCTCCGCCCCATCTCATTTCTCCAGGGTGTGCCCGTGTTTGTCCTCCAGATGCCAGCCGGGGATGGGCACTACCCTGAAGATAAAGAGAATCTGAGGCTGGAGGCAGTGTGGGGACATCAGAGAGGCCGAAGGAGAGGTCAGCCAGGGGACATTACCTGTCCCTTGTCCCTGAGGTCCTCTCCCTGTCCCCTTCTCTCACTCTCATTTTCCCAGCCAGAGTGGGAAACAGACTTGAAGTGGTCCCGGCTCAGAGTGCCAGGCCAGGCTGGGCACTCACGGGCTGAGTCCTGGCCCCAGGCTGTCAGCTTTGCCCGAACTTTTCACTGAAGAGCCTACTGTGCCTCAGTTTCTCCATCTGAGAAACGGAGGCTAAGGAATGCATCGGTTTTATGATAGGAGATAAGAAAATGGGGCGCAGCAGCCAGCCAGGCGCCTGGCACACAGCAGTTGCTTAGCAAAGCATTACCTCCCCTCCCGCCTGCCGTCCTCACCCCGGAATGCCCTGCCTCCCAGTCCTCAGCAGGATGGCTCAGCCCTCACCCGGACCTCCGGCCCAAGTGTCTCCCCATTCCTCCCAGCCTTTGTCCCCGAGGTCCCCGTCCCTCCTTCTCCAAGGGCAGCGAGCTTCTTCAGCCCCTCCTGCCACCACCTCGGGTGACAGGTTTGCTGGGGGTGACAGGACACCAGCCCGCTGACTCAGCGCCCAGAGCTAGGCCTTGCTTAGCAACAGAGAGGCCTGGGGCAAACAGAGCTGTGGGCAACCACACCCCCGCCGCAGGAATGCGCCAGCGTTCCTGGGGGCTGCCGTGGCACCCGCTGTGGCCAGATGGGGGCAGGTAGGCACCTTGGTTCCCTGCCACCTTGGCGCTGGCAGGAAGGAGCCCTCACACCCAGGCCTGGGAGGTTCCCTAGGCCACCGGAGGGAAGGGGTCAGAAGAAGGTGGTAAGGCTTCGAGATCTTTGTCTGCTCTATGACTTGGAAAAGGCCTCTCTGAGCCTCAGTTTCCCCCTTGTAAACCAGGGAAGGAATAGCAGAAGCTGGCTAGTGAGGACTGGGCAGTCCCAGGGCTTAGCCGCGCCTGCCTTGCCTGAGGAGGGAAGGGAGGAGGACCCTCAGCTGTGGAGCCCATGTTTCCAGCAGGGGATGAAAGAAGCCTTCAGCTCTGGGGCCTGGAGGTAGACTGGGGCCCAGAGAGGCATTTGCACTTCCCTGAGCCACACAGCAGGGCCTGACACCAGGCCCAACCTGAGCCCATTCCTCACTGGCTGGGGAGGCCTGGGCTTCCTGGCTCTTCCAGCAGGCCCTGTCTCCTGCCTTCTGTGCCTGCCCCATGACTGCTCACCCCATCTGCCTTCGTCCCTGTCCCTTCTGCACAGGACAGGGCCATCTGAAGCACCGAGGAAGCTGGTTTATGAAAAGAGGCCTTGACCAAGGATTTAGCCCAGCAGCACAAGCGCCTGCCTGGCAAGCACAAGATTGTGAGTTCGATCCTCAGTACCAAAAAAAAAGGAAGGAAGGAAAGAAAGAAAAGAAAAGAAAGAGGCCTTTCCTTGGAGCTGGGCAGGGCCCTGGATTTGCACCCCGGATTCTGTCTCTGCTGTGTGATCTTGGGTACACACCAGATCTGGTCTTCCGTTTCCTGTTACAAGTTGAGTATCCTTTGCCAGGAATACTTGGGCATTAACTGGTTGAGAGGCTTTAGAGTTTGGGGATTTTGGAATATGCAAATATGAGAATCTCTAACTAATGTGAAAATCCAAAATGCCTCCAAATTCAAATTTCTGTTTTTTCTCAGGACCTTGTACTTGCCAGGCAGGCGCTTGTACTGCTGAGCTATCTCTCTGGCCTCCACATTTAAATTCCTTGAACATTATGTTGGTGCTCAAAGTTTCAGATTTTGGATTTCCAGACAATCAAGTTGTTTCAACTGTTCTGTGCACAAGAAGGTGACCCGAGCGGCAGACGGTAGGTCCCGGAGATGAGAGTCCCAGGTACAGGCCCCAGCCCCACGGCAACACGCCCCCAGCCCTCAGTGCCTCATTTTACCCCCCAGAGCTGCCTGCCTCTGACCCACTGTAGGTGGCTGAGCCCTGGTGCTGCTGCTGCTGCTGCTGTGAGGCTGGGCCTGCTGGGGGAGGGGGCTGCGGGCCCCACCATTCACCACTAAGCCGGGATCCGGGCGCCTTTGTACAGAGAACAAAGCCAGGGATCAGCTGTTCCCTGACCTGCCCTTCTCTGCTCCGGAAGGGACAGGCCCAGGCCCAGAGATGAGGGGAGCCGGCGAGGAGGGAGGTTTGCACCCTGAGAGGCCCCCTCCCCAAGCCAGGATGCGGTTATGAGGGGTGCACTAACCCAGGTTCAAACCCACATCTTAGCATCATGAGATGGGCAAGGGTTTATCCTCTCCAGGTCTCAGCGGCACAGTCTCTCGGGACAATGCAGTGGCTCCCACAGGAGGGGTCTTCAGCCTTGCCCTGGGTCAGGGCGCAGGCTGGGACAAATGCTGGATCTGAGTGCAAAACATGCGTTTGTGCACAGCCGTGCGTGTATGCATGCGTTCATGAAGGGGGATTCTGACCAACTCAGGACAGGTGTGCTGGGGACAGGACCTGACCTGCCAGCTGCCTAGTCCCCATTCTCAGCCAGGTGTCCGGGGATGTCCCTTGAGAGAGGATTGAGGAAGAAGGCAGCCCCAGGCCCTCCTCTCCCACCTCATCCCCTGCCTGGGCCTCAACCCGGGGCAGGCTTCCCTCCGCTGCCTCCCAGCCCGCTGCGGCTGAAGGGGGCCTGGCTGCGTGTTGCTCTGTCCTGTGACCCACAGTCCCTCAACCCCTGGAGACAGGCGCCTTGACAAGAGGTACTGAGGCCCGGGCTGGGCAGTGATGACTTGAGTTTCCAGGCTGCAAGCCAGGCAGCCCGTGGTCACACTCGGCCTGGGGCCTGGGCTCCGGCCAAGCGTCAGCAGTGAGATTGTTGGGTTGGTTTTATTTTAAACAAAAACGAACTTGGGGAAAAAAAAAAAAAAAAAGAACTTTGAGTGGAAACATGTGTTTCTCCTTCCTCCCCTCCCTCTCTTCCTCTCTACATCTTGTCTTCCTGTGTGCTGCTAGCGCCCTCCTTTCTGCTCTTCCACATGCTGTGCTCCTCCCCGCCAAGTCTCCTGTCTCTGTGTCATGGTGTGTATCTTGCTGTCCCCGCAAAGCCTCATGCAGGTGGGGTTTCCAGAGGTGGCCGAATCCAGAGTGCGCTGACTCACGGGTGCAATGCCAGGATTAAGGGTGCAGAGATTAAAGGTGGAGGATTACTAAATTAGCCCTGATCGGTTTGGGACCACCTTTATCTTGCGGCTCATCTAGTCTCCTGCTTGCTTGCCTTGCCTCCTTCTGCCCGCTGTGAATCATTTTCCTCTGCGATGCCCCTGTGCCACGCCACCCTGTCTGGGAGTCAGCCGATTGTGCACTGAAACCTCTACAAACTGTGAGCTCAATAAACCTTTCCTCCCTTAACTTGTGGGTGTTAGGTAATTTGTCTCAGCGATGAAAAAAATAACTAAGGTACTCTGTCTCCATGTCTCTCTCGGTCTCTCTCAATCTCTCTCTCTTTCTCTCTACCTCTTTATTTCTCTGTGGCTTATCCCATCTCTTTTTCCTGTCTTTCAAGAGTCTGGAAAGCCTAGGCTCCTTCGCTTGGGGTGTGTCCCTGGCCCCTGCCATGAAACTGCCAGTCTGAACCGGGCCCGATGTGAGACCGGGCTTCCCCAACCTGCCCCTTTGTCCATTTTTTTTTATACTAAGCATCCAAAATATAGTTCTGCAGGTTAAAACCAACTTTTCAGACACTGGACCAGGCAGGAGGTGTGGCTCAGGGGTAGAAGGCTTGGTAGCCTGTCTGAGGCCCTGGGTTCCTGTCCCAGCACTCCAGAAAGACACCATCAGCCGGGCGTGGTGGCTCATGCCTGTAATCCCAGCACTCGGGAGGCTGAGGCAGGAGGATCCTTGTGAGTTCGAGACCAGCCTGGGCTACAAAGTGAGCTCAGGGCCAGCCTGAACTGCATAGCGAGACCCTGCCTCAAAAAAAAAAAAAAAACAAAAAAAAAAAACAAAAAAGAAGACCCCATCAGTGTGGTCCAAACTATCCTTTCTGTAAGCAGAGACAGGGACCAAGGGGATCCATGGCCTGCCTGAGGCCACATGGAGAACTGTGGCAAAATTGTATCATCGGTACCTAGGGAAGAAAGTGATCCACATGCACACTACTGTCATCCTAAGAGAGTGTCCTTCCCTCCCCTGAGGTGTCACTCAGCACTCAGGACCACGCCCCTGGGAGCTGTCAGGCTGTGGCTGATCCTCTGCCCCCCATTTCCAGGCCCTTCCACCAGGCAGCGAGAGGGGAGCCTGGCTATTCAGAGCTTGGGTCTTTTTGTGACTGTGAGCATGACTTTTGTCCTCAAATCTGTGTCCTCAAATCAGGGTTTGCCTTTGCCAATGAGGGCCTTCCTGTTCATCCATGGAAAGGAATTCTGAGATATCTGGCCAGGAATGCAGCCTCCCTCCCAGAGTGAGAGGAGCCCCCTCAATCGGCCTCCAGTCCCCCAAATCTCAGGCACTGGGTCCCCAGTGTGCAAGGGCCAGCATCGTCCTGGCCTAGTGGAGAGGAGAGTGTCACTGCTGGTCCCCTTGTGAGGGCTGAGTCACGCCAGGGACAGGAGGGGTTGCGTGGTGCACAGGGGAATTCCTTCCTTATCACAGTGCCAAGAGCTAAGTCTGTAAATGCCAGGGATCAGGAGGTGGGGAAACGACAGGGACAGGTAAGCCCATCTTTGCAGGCGTGGGCAAACTCCTCATCCACCTGGCTGCTCTCTCTCCCCACCTCCTGCCTCGCCAGCTACTTGGCTTGGCTTCCAAAATGAGAAGAGGAAAGAGAGAGGGGCTATGTGGGCACCTGCTGGTCAGCAGAGAGGAGAAAGCTTTCCAGGAGCCCAGGGCACAGAGAGGGGCAGAGCCAAGCGCCACAGCCCCTGCTGCACTCTGTCCCCGGGACCACCCAACCTGGGGCCGGCCTGCGCCTCCCTCCACGGGTCCAGCAGTGCCACTGTCTCCTCTCATCCTCACAGCTGTCCTGAAGTCTGGGGCCATCGGCACCCACTTTGCAGATGACACAAGCACAGGAAGGGGGCGCCTCACCCAGCACAAGTGCTGTCACCTTTACAGGAATTTTGCAGGTCAGGTGTCACTGGTACTTTGAAATTAGCTCCTGAGGGACTGTTTACACCACAGCCATCAGCAAATAAAACGAAATCAATCGGGCCTCCCTTCCTTCCTTCCTCCCCTTCTCTTCCCTCCCCCTCCCTCCCTCCCTTCCTTCCTTCCTTCCTGCTTTTTCCTTTCTTCCTCCTTTTTTCTTTTGAGACAGCAGGCTGTTAAACATTCACCAGCTCGCACTGCCCGGAGGCTCCAGCTGTGCAGGGCCTCAGAGGGGTCTCTTACTGGCTCAGGGGCTCTAGGAGTTTAGCCAGACTCAGCTCGGCTCAGGCCCTGTGACACAGCTGAGCCTGCCTGTGTGCCACACGGAAGAAATTCCGCCCTCCCTGCTGTGATGACAAGAGCTAGCATCTCTTTCTATTTCTCCACAGCAGCTTCCTGTCCAGGGCAAGAGACTGTCCTGATCGTCCCTTTGGCCCAGGGATTAAAGGTCTGCAGGCCAGCATGCCCTGTTCTCAGACACCACCATCAGTTCCATAAATATTTACCAAGCACCTCAAGTAACCTCCCTGGGGCGGGGCGGGTGCATCTGCTGACTGAATTCATCCGTTCATTCCCCCCTGCACCCCTTCAGTCGATACGTGGCTCCCATGTGCCCCTGGAGGCTGCGAAGATGACAGAACCAAGACTATCCTGCTCTAAGTCTGGGCCCCGCCATGTGCTTCCAGCACTACCCAGACAGAGCTCAACCTTCTCAAGTATACAGGGACCGCCCTGGAGGGTGCCTTCCAGCCCCGGCCAGGAGGGAGCTAGTGAGACCTTTGTTGTGCACAGGAGAGAAGTGAAGCCCAGAGTTTATGCATTTATTCATCAATTTTGGTCGATGGGGACAGAGTTTCAGGGTAGGAAGATGAAAAATGGTTAGCGGTGATGGCTGTACCACAACAGGAACACACAGGAAGTCACTGAGCTTACTTCAAAGTGAATAAAATGAAGCCAGACATGGTGGTGCACATGGAATCTCAGCACTTGGGAGGCTGAGGCAGGAAGGCCAGAAATTCAAGGGCTGAGGTGCAGGGGAGACCAAGGCCAGCCTTGTAAAGCTGTGTGTGTGTGTGTGTGTGTGTGTGTGTGTGTGTGTGTGTGTATGTGTGTGTGTATTTTTTTGGTACCAGGGATCAAACTCACGACCGCCTGCTTGCAAGGCAGGTACTTACGCCGCTGAGCTAAATCCCCAGCCCCCAGCTGTGTATATTTTTACCACAATTAAAAGAACCAAACTGAAAAGCATTTATTGAACCTCAGTTTTGTTTCAGGCACCATACTAAACATTGTGGGTACAGCTGTGAACAAAACAAATTGATATACGGGAATGAAACTCCCAACCTGCTATGTCCGCAAGCTCGTGTTCTCTAAAATTGAAGAATGAATTTTAGGAACAATGGAGATTAAGAGTAGGATATATTTATTGAGAGAAAGCAAGCTTCTGTCTGAGGGAAACAGAAGGGGTCCTGAGCGGGTTGCCAGGGACTCTGTCCTTTCCAAGGACTTTTATAGAGTAAAACCATGGGAAGAGACAGGTTCAAGGTGGAGAAAACTGGGAACTCACAAGGCAGATGGGCATAAGGCGGGACATAACTGTAGTTAGCCAATAAGATCAATAGTTCAGGTAAAACTGATTACATTAGGGACAAATGGGGAAGCGAGTCACATGGTAAGCGGGCATTCTTAGAGAGCAGTGACTCTTCCCTAGGGGAGTGGGATGGTGACTCCAGGCTTCCTCAGGGTGACGGGGAACTATTTAGGGTATCAATCCTCAGGACATGGGAGCATTTGTTTGGTCTTTTGTCTTGAGGCCTGACCCACAGCAGAAGCTATCTGTCTCCCCCAAGTTGCCAGGTATCTGGGCCTCTGCCCTGGCTCCACCAAGGCCCTGGCCCTGTCTCACTGCCTATAATATTTCTAACTAACTCAGCTGCCTGCAACAAAATCCTGTTTGCTTTGTGGAGCTGTCTTTCCAGCACTGTTTGCGAGAACTTTCTAGAACTCCGGGGTGGTGTGATGGATGGACGGATGGACGTGTTCCCTATCTGCTTGGTGCAATGTGACCAGGAGGTACTTGAATAGTAGCTGATGCAAAGGGGGAACTGGAACTGGCTTTTGTTTTATGTCACTTTAATGCATTTAAACGGAACAGCTATGGGTAGCTACCGCCTACCGGACTGGACAGTGCAGTTCCAGAAGGCCAACTGCATGGCAGCGGGCGAGCTGGCCTTCAAGGCCAGTTCACCTGACCCGGGTGTGTCTTCAAGCTTCCCTGAGGCCCGGGCATCTCTAGGGGTGTGGGGTACAGGGCAGGTCCCAGGCTCCTGAGGGATTAGGACAAGGTCAAGTTTAAGATTTCCCCTTGGCCCTGCCCCACATTCTCAACAGTCGCAGCTTAGAAATGTGACCATGGGGCTGGGGATTTAGCTCAGCAGCGTAAGCACCTGCCTTGCAAGCAGGTGGTCATGAGTTCGATCCCCGGTACTGATTAAAAAAAAAAAAAAAAGAAATGTGACCATGGAGTGTGAGGTCCCTGAGTCTGAGCCAGGCCTGTCTGGGGGAGCTGCACCCTGGGCGCTCCACCCCAGCCAACCCAACCTGGAGGAGAACTAGTTACACTGCCCACCTGCCGTTGCTTCCCAGCCTGCACCGGGCCCTGCAGAGCACACAGATAGCACTTTACGCTCTCTCCTAAGCACCCCAGCCCATGGCCCACCCATCTCTGGGGCTCCCCACTCGGAGTCAGTGGGCAAGGGGAGGGACAGGCTTACCCCGGTGCTGCCCCACCCTGCGGGCCAGTCTGGTCAAGGAGAGGAAGGAAGTGAAGCAGGCCGGGGCCAGTGAACAGGGCTGAGGTGACTCAGGCCTGAGGAATTTGAAAACAAACATTTAGCCAGGGGAGGAAGAGGCTGCCATGGATTGCTGAGCCCTGGGCGGCCAGGTTCCCTCCTTCCTGGGGCAGGGGTGAATCCCAGCCCTGCTGGCCGTGGCCCCTGGCTGGAATCAGTGCCTGGGGAGTTGCCATTCCATGGGGGCAACCCAACCAGGGGTGTGTGGGGCTGGGCTCTGGCTGGGGTGAGGAGAAAGAGGGAGCCAGTGGGGGCTCTGCAGAGGGAATCTCCGAAGACTCCCGGAGGAAGTCACCTGAACAGAGACACTTGTCCATCTCGCCCCTCTCTGGTCAGCACTCCGGGGCTGCAGGGTGAGCAAGTGCCCATAGATCCACGGAATGAATGGACGCATGAATGAGCGGACGATCA